CGCTTATCTCCAATTAACCACCAGAAAACCGGAAGTGGTGCTGTGGCTCAAGTGGTGGAACGCTCACCTTGAGCTGAAGAACTCACGGACAGCGCCCAGGACCAGAGTTCAAGCCCCATGACCGACCAAAAACAAAAAACACCACCTGAGGCTGCAAACATGCAACTGTGGTATTCAGCATTCACTATTAACTGTCTCTTGTGGGCAGGGAGGGGAGGAGAGGGGAAGCAATGGAAAGAGTGATGTCCAAAAAAAAGAAACACATGGGCTGGGAAAGGTGGCTTAGTGGTAGCGCATTTGCCCAGCATGCACGAAGCCCTAATGCATGAAACCCTAGGTTCAATTCCCCAATACCACATAAACAGAAAAAGCTGGAAGTGGCACTGTGGCTCAAGTGGCAGAGTGCTAGTCTTGAGCAAAAGACGCTCAGAGACCATGTCTAGGCCCTGAGTTCAAGCCCCAGGCCTGGGGGGGAAGAGGGGCCACGAGGAATACTCATTACCTGACTCATGAAATGGTACAACATCTTAGTAGTAATAATAAAATTGTATGCTTTAAACACTGAGGTGGCAAAGCTAAATGCCTGCAGGACTCAGCAGAGAAGGTAAGCAACTAGATGGAGGCAACAGGCAGCCCAAAGCCCAGGGCGGAGGCGATCCCTGTGCGGAGCACGCAGCCTTCCCGCAGCTCCCGCTCCCGCCACACCTGACTCTGAAGGAACCTCAAACCCAGACACTTGCTGGATCTTTTTTCCAACTTTGTTAAAACTTTGGTGTTGTCCTAACTATAACACCAGCTGGCCACCTACTTACAAGCCCCTCACTGCATACAACCCTGCGCCACATCTACAGCGAGGTCTCCCTCTAGCCTCACTCAATCAGCAAGCCACACCCACCTCTCACCACGACACCACTTCCCACCACCACACACCCTACAAAAAGCATCTCAGATGTTTCTTATTCCAGAGTTTTTCCAAGCCAGCACGGTGTTGCATACACGTAATCCCAGGTACCTGGAGGCTGAGGCAGGAGGATCTTGAGTTCAAGGCCATTTCCAGCAAAGTTACTGAGACCCTATCTCAAACATAAAATACACTGACTAAAGTATGGTATACACGAAGTTGATTTTCATTAACAGAGGGCTTAACAAAGTAAGTACCAGGAAGCTAAAACACTGTCTTGTCTACAGGAGAGGGCCAAATGAACGACGACAGGAACTATATTGGTAAATACAATGTGCATGTGTAAAAATGGAACTAGGAACTTGAATAGTGGGGGAGAAGGATGGAAGAGGTAACACTGGCCAGGATGCATTGTACTTATAAACCAACACATTGAGGCCCTGGTGGCTCATGCCCATAATCCTAGCTACTCAGGAGGCTGAGATCTGAAGATCGTGGTTCCAAGCAAGCCAGGGAATCCTTGAGACTATTATCTCCAATTAAGGACCAAAAAAAAATCCAGAAGTGAAGCTGTGGCTCAAGTGGTAGAGCATTGGCCTTAAGCACAAAAGCTCAGAAACAGCACCTAGTGCCTGAGTTCAAGTCCCAGGACCTACACTCAAAATAAACAAACATGCTGAATTGAAATTGTTTTACAATTATCTAAAGGTAGCTTTTAAATAAATTTATTTTTTAAAGTGAAATACAAAATGTACCCACTACCTTACTTATGTAACTGTAACCCCTCTGTACATCACCCAGGCAATAAAATTTTTAAAAATAATTTTTTTTAAAAAATGAAATACAAAAGGCCTCGGATCTTGGCTCGAGGTAGAGTATTTGTCAACCACGCACAAGGCCTTGGATTCAATCTCCAGAACCACAAAAGGGTTTCCGCAGCCACACGGGCACGGGTTACTGCTCCTCACTCCCTGCCACCCCTTTCCTTGTCATTTTAACATTCAATTGTTTTGCCTTGCTCCTTAATCCAAGGAGCACGTTAGCTCTCCAACTAGACTGCACGCGTCCATCTCTCTATACTTCATTCTCCTTTGGCATTGAGAAGAATAGCTCTCCATGGAGCAGCTTTTTAATTCGGAATGTGAAAATCCTCCATGCTTCTCAAACTGTGGGTTTTGATCTATCAGAGAGTGTTTGGGCCAGACACCAGTGGCCCACACAGTAGTCCTACCTACTCAAGAGACTGAGGAGATTGTAGTTCAAACCAAGCGCAGGTAGATAAATCTGAGAGATACTTATGTCTAATTAACCATCGAAGAAAATCTAGATGTGGAGGTGTGGCTCCAGTGGTAGAGAGCTAGCCTCAAGCAAGAAGGCCTAGTGAGAGCACCAGGCACTGAGTTCAAGCCCCAGTACCAGAGCATAGATGCGCGCGCGCGCGCACACACGCGCGCACACACACACACAGAATAGTTGGGTCATTTAGTAGACTACAAGAAACTGTTTATTTTTTTTTTAAGTAAAAAGTAATTGAATTTAAGTCAGAAGCATGCACCAAGCAAAGGGATGTTGTATATCATGAACTGAAGTCATATTTTTTACATAAGATTATGTGTACTAGATTATGATATAAATTTTATTTTATTGGTCATGGGGCTTGAACGCTGGGCCTGGGCGATGTCCCTGAACTCTTCAGCTCGAGACTAGCGCTCTACCACTTGAGCCACAGCACCACTTCTGGTTTTCTGGTGGTTAATTGGAGATAAGAGTCTCATGGACTTTCCTAACACTGGGCTGGCTTTGAACCACGATCCTCAGATCCTGAGTAGCTCGGATTATAGGCATGAGTCACCGGCGCCTGGCTTATTAATGTAGGTCCTGGTCAAACAGTATCAAAAGCATTGCTCTACAATGAGTAAGTGAACTCAAGCCCTGCTCCATGCACATTTTCTCTCTCTTTTTTTTTTGGTGGGGAGAAATGGTCAGCTATTCCCTATGAAGAAAAAGAAATCTGACCCACACCATCAGCCTTCCCCCAGGCCCCCTCTTCTGCCAGCTCACTGATCCTACATGGCAGAGAAGCAGGAGGCTGGGTAACTATAATTACATTCTCCGCTCACTCAGTAACCTTCTGCAATCATCCTTCAAACCCCGATGTTGCAAGTTGAGGCTTGGGGAATTTGTTCGGCAAATCACCCCACATTGCCTTTGCAACGAGAAAGCAGAATTCAAAGCTCAGAAGAAACAGCCCTGGCTCCCTTCTCCCTGCTGGTCTCCCAACTCCTGGGACAACTGGACTGAGTTGGAAAGGACTGGCTCTAGAAAACGCAATATTCCTACACCCCAATTCCCTTCTTCAGGTCATCTGGACGCTCGCTCTCCCCTACCACGAAAGGGACACCCAGACTATCCAGACTGCGGTGCAGAGAAAAGTTCAGGCATACTTCAAAACCCAACAACTGACACCTTTGGCATCTCACTCTACTTCTCTCCAACCTCCATCCCACCCTCGTGCTTACAGGATAAATGATCCCAGTTTCCTGGAGCGCCCACTCCCTAGAGCTGCTCCTCCAACTCCGCAGTCACAGCCAGGTGAAGTCGAGTGAACACAGAAGGGCAAAACACAGAAACCTTGGTAGTCGACCTAAGTCCCACTCACGTTCTGCTGTCTTACGACCAGGATGACTCCACACTTCCCCCAGTGCCCTGCCCACTCTTCCCCCCAACACCATATCCTAGTGTTCCCACCAACCTCAGAGCTGCCACTGCTGGGGAGCACCTACACTCAGATATCTTGGCAAACAAGAGATCTACAAGCTTGAGTGTGAATTACTTCTCTGCAAAACACACATTTCCGATTTCTCCAGTTACCAACTTCAGCAGGTCCAAGGTCCTGGCAAACCATCAATTCCCACAAAGAATTAATTTCCCTTGGTGTCTTCTTCAGCCTGCCCCTGTTAGCAGATTGCTTCAACAGTAATACTTCTAAGACCCAACAGCTTTTCCATTTCCAATTAAACCGGGTCTAAACCCTGAGCATGCCACAACTGCCACAGTGTGCTAACGGGTCTAGCTCCTAACGTTACTTTCAAAAGCCTTTCCACATATTCTCCTTACATCACTCACTGGTCCTCAGATCTTCTCAGAACACATGAGAAGAGAGCGCAATTTCTCAGTCTGGCTTTCTAGGCCTTTCACAATTTCTGCCATTGCTCCTCTCCATCTTTATCTTCTTTTCTTTGTCCCAGACTGGAACTCGAACTCAGTACCTGACACTCTTCCTCATTGATTAGTGCTCTACCAGCTGACCCAAGCCTCCAACACCTCCATTTTTATCTTCTATGTTCAGGAAACATCCCAAGACAAGTAAAAGCAGCTCCTCCTCCTCAGGGAAAGTCACGTCATGTACAACCCTACTTTGTGGAGCAGCTCAAGGGTCTCCAAGGACGCAGCTCTAGCGCCCTCCCCCCCTCCCCCCTCCCCTGTGGCCGGTGTGGGGTTTTGTTTCTGTGTCCTCCCTGAGGTGGTAGGTCAGGAGGAAATCTTCCCTTGAACTTTTGTACCCTTTCTTGCTGAGGACAACCACTGCTGGTCTTTTCTGCATCCCACCTGTTACTTCTTTCCTGACTTTGGGTCTTGCCAGTGGATTATTCTCCACATACAGAACTTACTTCGAAACTAATCCCCTAAGTCCTTTTAACTCGAATGTCAATCTGCTGCGTCCCCATCCTGCAGCATGTATGCCAACTGGACCATCAGAACACATTCATTTCAACCTGAGCACTCCAATGGCTTTTCCCTGGGTTTGCTGAGGATTTTCACTTTCTCCTGTACCTCTAACCATCTCCCAGAGAGCCGGGCCTGGAGCTGAGGACACCCAGGGACCGATGTATTGTATTTCAGGCTCCTCCAAACCAGGAACCTCGGTCTGACCCTGGGGAAGGGGGTCAGGAGGCTTCCAATACCTGTTGCCGGGCTGGGCTGGAGCTCCGTGGCAGAGCGCTTGCCAAGCAAGTGCAACGTCCTGGGTTCGATTCCCAGTACCCCCCCCCAAAAAAGCAAGACAAGAACACATACACCCCCAAAAGAGAATCAATACCTGTTGCTCGTCACTCTGGAGCAGACTGCCCCGGTGACACCCTTCCGGAAAGGGCTGTGGAGAGAGCAGTGAGGCCGCCCAGGCTGGACGCGGCGGCCTGGCACGGAGAACGCACGCCCGGGGCGGGGGGGGGGGGGGGGGGGGGGAGTCCTGGCCCGCGGTGGGAGCGGCCGCGGCGGGGCCCCCGCGGGGCGCGCGGTCCGTGGGCTTCTCCAGCGCCCCGGGCCCCGGCCCCCAACTTCCCCGGAGGCCGCACTGCCAGGCAGGGCAGCGACCCGGCCGGGGAAGCTGCCGGCCCGGGCCGAGCCCCAGGCCCGCCGGGGGCCCCCGTGCGGCCCCTGCGCCGCGGGCGGGAAGGGCCGCGGCCCGGCGGAGGGCGTGTCGCCGCCCGCGGCCCGGCCGGAAAGGCGCGCTGCCCGGTGCACAGGTCGGTCTTCCTCCCGGAGGCCACCGCCGACCGCCCACCGCTCAAAGTTGGGAGGGGGCCGGCGCGAGGCCCGGCGGCGAGGAGGTAAACACGGTGCCGCCGCCGGCCGCCGCCGCCCCCGGGCCCCGCCGCAGCGCCCCGCGCCCCGCCCTCCGCGGCACCGGGCCGCGCCGGCCTCCCCCCCCCCCCCCGCCCCGGGCTGCGGGCCCGGCCCCGCGGACGTGCGGAGCGTGGGAAGTTCCCGGCCGGCCGCCCCGCCGCCCCCCGCCCCGGGCCCCCGCGCAGCTCACCTCGGCCGCTCGCCCGCCCGCCCCCTGGCGCGGCCCGCGGGCCCCGCTCCGCTCCGGCCGCCGAGGCGCAGTTCGCGCCCACCTGGCCGCCCGCCCTCCCCGCTCCGGGACACAGCGCTCACGTACGCGGCCGCGGCCACAACCCGGCCCGGATTCCCCGCCCGGGAAGGGAGCGGAGGAGCAGCCAGCGATCCCCGCCAGGCAGCGCGCGGGCGGGCGGGCGAGCGGGGAGACTCGGGGGGCCGCCCCCCGCCCGCGCCGCCCCGCCCCGCCCCCGGCACGCCCGCGTCCACGCACCGGCCTCCCGTACACAGTCGGCGCTCAATTAGTGCCCCGGCGGCTCCCCGCCGCACATGCGCACTTGAACCTGACCCACTTGTGACCCGCCCCCGCCCCCAAATCGGCGCGGGCCGCTGCGGCCCCGCACCCGGCCCGCCAGCCGGGCTCTGTTTTCCTCTTTGCCCCGAATCTGCACCGCCGGCCAAAGTTTCTGGCGGCTGTTTCCAGGCCTGGCTCGGGCACCGGCCTCCCCGCCGGGCCCAGCGCGCCCGCGGGCGGGAAAGCGCGCCCCGGGACCCCCGCGCCGCCCGGGCGCCCCGGCGGGGGTGGGTGCTCGACCGCGCGGAGCGCCGAGCGCGGCCCGGAGACGGTGGGGACCGGCGGGGGGGGGGGGGGGGCGTTTACCGTTTCTGGGATTGAATGGGAGAAAGTTAACGATTAGCCTGCAACCCTTCGGTAAACAATGCCGGGGGCTTCGGGCCCAGCTCCGGCTCTGGGACCGTGCGTAACCGGGAGAACGGCCGCGGTTCCAGGTATGGCGCTCTGTTTTTCCTAGATAAGCCCGAGCCACCGCGGCGGGAGGCCCGCGGGTACTTGCATCTGTAGACAAGCACGCTTTGCCCAGCGGACTGAGTTCCCAGCCCTCCTGCCGTGGTGTGTGCCTGGCAGTCCACAGGACGGGAGGGGGGGGGGGGGCTGGAGCAGGCTGCAGTCTCCGCCTGTGATCCTCACTTCACTGCTTGGCCTAACTCGGTGATCTTCGGCACGTTCTCCAACTCTGAGCATTTCTTTATCTGTCAGATGAAAGCAAGCAGCGCAGAAGTAGTGCCCAGCTCACAGCAAATAAGGAGAAATAAGTGTTTCCCTCCCTACCTCACTTCCTGCCATTTATTAAGTAATCCTAACCGTGATCCTAACTTCTTAGAGAGATCTGAAGATCACAATTCAAAGGCAACCTGGGCAGAAAAAAAAAATCCGTGAAACTCTCGTGTCCAATTAACTAGCAAAAATCTGGTAGTGGAGGTGTGGCTCAAGTGGCAGAGTGCCAGCCTTGAATGTGAAAAGCTAAGCAGGAACACCAGGCTTCTGAGTCCAAGCGCCAGTACTGGCACAAAAGAAAAAAGGAAAAGACAAAACAGAACCAGAACCCCAGTTTAGCTAAAAGGCTGGTTCTCAACTGGAGAATGGATAGGTGACTTTTGTGCACCAGGGGACACTTGGACATGTTTGATTGTCACAACCAGCAGGGAGGACATTTCTAGGGGCATCTAGGTTGCCAGAAACCAGGTAGCCTTCTGTTCACCATCCTGCAATGCCCGAGACAGCCTCTGAAAGTAACTTACCTCCTCTCAAAAGTTACCTAGTATGCTTATTGTTGGAAAGTCCGGTCTCTATCTTAACTCACAACCTCTGGAAACAGTTCTGTTTTGCATTTGGAACAAGACCTTGTAAGGGACAACAGCAATTGCTTTAAGATGCAAAGCCTTCCCTTCACAAGAAGAAGATTGTAATCTTACATTTTGTTATCAGAGAAACAAATAGAACACACGCTTAGCTTTGTATTGTTCTCATTTATCCTCCAGGCCTACCGGCTACTCACCTAGGATTATCCCTCACTCACCCTGCAGCTCACACTAGAGTCCCTTTCTCTTTGGAAGTAGATTAGTGTGCACACAGCAATTATGGAACAATACAAGACAACATGTAATTATACTTTAATTGCTGCCCTGAGACTAAGGTGGTTCCAAGGAAAGGGAAATGGTCCCTGCAGTGGAGCCCAGGGCTTGCCTGTGGTACTGAGCTATTCAGGAAATGTTTATTGAACAAAATGAAATGGTTAGGGAAAGTTTCTTACACAAAATAGGGTCCCAGCAAGTCTATAAATTTCCTGAACAGCTAGATTAAACTAGATTTTGTAAAAGACCATTGATAGCTGGCTGTGAAAGTATTTTTTCTCAAACATCTAATTCATAGACTTGTGTATTCTTTATTAGTGTTATTGTAAAGGTGATGTACAGAGGGGTTACAGTTACCTAAGTCAGGTAAAGAGCACATTTCTTTTTGGACAGTGTCGCCCCTTCTCATTTTCTCCTTGTTTTTTCCCTCCCAACCCTTCCCCACACGAGTTGTGCGTTTCATTTTCAATGTAGTGACTAGTGAGTATCACCCTTTGTCCCATCATTTCTGTGTTTCCCCTTAAGATCCCCAAAGCAATAAACTTATATACAATACAAAAGGTACAGAAAACAAAAGCAGCAACAAAGGAGGAAAAAAAGCAAAATAACAAAAAACAAACAAAAACAAAACTCTTAGCCGGATGCCAGTGGCTCACGCCTGTCATCCTAGCTACTCAGGAGGCTGAGATCTGAGGATTGTGGTTCAAAGCCAGCCCAGGCAGGAAAAGTCTGTGAGACTCTTATCTCCAATAAACCACTAGAAAACCAGAAGTGGCACTGTGGCTCAAGTGGTAGAACACTAGCCTTGAGCTGAAGAGCTCAAGGACAGTGCCCAGACCCAGAGTTCAAGCCCCATGACCAACCAAAACAAACAAAAAAAAACCCTCCTGTCTCCATTTCTTGATTAATTTCAATAAACATCATTTTAATATGATCATAGGCACATAGCTATTGAGCCTTTGTGATCCTCTCCTAAGAATATCCTCCTTTGGTCTCACTGTGTGAATGTCTAGAGTCCTTTGTAATTTATCATGTCCATGTGTATTTTTTTTTAACTGTACAGTATAGTTGCTTGCAGATTTACAGGTACATTCTAGTTACAACAAATGCAACCTTTTTTCAGTCTGGCTTTACTTCACTTAACATACTTTTTTCTCATTTCCTTACGAATGGTACAGTATCATTCTTTCTGATGAAAGCACAGAATTCCACTGTGTATACATACCACATTATCTTGATCCATCTTCTCCCAAGGGGCATCTGGGTTAAAAGTTTCAACCATTTGACAAGTGGGAGGACCTGTTGTGAATACTCTAAATATAAGCAGAACTCATGGTGTAAGCTGTTTGAGACATCTTAAAGGCAGGCTGTGCAAAGGCACATGCTTTCTCCAAGCACATGCTAGATGCCAATCTTTTTTTACAGCAGGTAGATACTTGCACAGTACGCATTCCAGAGTTCAACACATTAACACCAACTCAGACAAAACATCCCATCACAAACATCCAGCCCCAACCAAGCACACACACACACACACACACACACACACACTGTACCTTCCCAGGTGCTGGACTCTGTCCTGGACACACTGGACAGCACACATTGTACAAGGATCCTGATTCACTTAAAGACCATCACTACTGTGGCTCTCCATTTGAAGCCAGCCAGGCAGAAAAGCCAGTGAGACAATTATCTTCAATTAACCAGCGAAAAGCCAGAAATGGGAATATGGCCCAAGTGGTAGAGTACCATCAGCCTTGGGCATAAAAAAACTCGATAGGGGCTGGGAAGGTGGCTCAGTGGTAGAGCGCTTGCCTTGCATGCCTGAGGCCCTGGGTTCCATTCCTCAGCACCACATAAGCAAAAAGAAAAAAAAAGCCGGAAGTGGCGCTGTGGCTCAAGTGGTAGAGCGCTAGCCTTGAGCTAAAGAGCTGAGGGACAGCTCCCAGGCCCAGAGTTCAGGCCCACGACCAGACCCAAAAAAAAAAACTCAAGATAGCATCAGGTCCTAAGCTCAAATCCCAGGACTGGCACACACAAAAAAGTTGGAGCTGGGTGCTAGTGGCTCACACCTATAATCCTAGCTACTCAAAAGGCTGAGATCTGAGGATCAGGGTTCAACGCCAACCCAGTCAGGAAAGTTCATGAGAGTTTTCTCTCCAAATAACCACCAGAAAACTCAGAAAACTGGAAGTAGAGCTGTGGCTCAAAGTGGTAGAGCGCTAGCCTTGAGAAAAGAGCTCAAGTACAGTACCCAGCCTCTAAGTTCAAGCCCCAAGATTGATGGCCAAAAAATGGCATCTTGTACCTTACTTCTATCAAAGCAATTAGCTCTTTACAAAGTATCTCCCATTAGCTGAGGTTAAGGTAAGCAGATTCAAGACCTCTCCCCCGCCTCATTTCCTAAATGCTTATGTCATGTTTGGTGACACTTCAAATCTGAGATCGCCATCCTCCCTAACTGCAACCTCCCAACTGCTTCTAGGCCCACCTTCCTCTAACCCACTCTAGCCTCTTTCTTCTACTTCAGACTCTTCAAAGGCTCCCCTACATTTCTGTGGGGGTATGTGTGTATGTGTGCATGTATGCTAGTACTAAGCTTGAACTCAGGGGCCTGAGCACTGAGTTGAACACCTGTGTAGGCCTGCTTTGAACCACAATCCTCAGATCTCAACCTCCTGAGTAGCTAGGATGACAGGAGTGAGCCACCGGTACCTGGCTTCCTGTATGCTCTTGCTATAAAGTCCCTGTACTGGGCCCAGTCCTTCCTGGTGCTCCTTTCTGCCTCTGTCTATCCCTTCACCTTGTACTCCAGACCTGCTTGTCTGACCTCGTATTCTTTGCCTGAACTTTCTTTGCATGTCACAAACTGTCTTTTCTCTACCTACCCTCCAACCTGCTTACATGGCTTTTCCTACTCTTCCTCCAGGAGGAAGATACAATATTCTCCACAAAGCTTCCTCTAGCCTTCAGACAAATGAAGGGCTTTCCCCTTTCTGTCCACAAGTACCCGCTACGTACCCCTAACTCACATGCTGAAATTCTCCTGTCCTCAGCCCCGCTGACCA